TCTGTGCCCTCCACAGAGGGGCTGGTCCTCTGCCTTCCTGGGCACAGAGGCGGGGCTGTGGCCAGGCTGGGCGGCAGGACCCTCGTGCCCACCTGGATCCTGGCTTGACCACAGCTGCACACACTGTGATGGAGCTGTGGGGCCTGTGTGCCAGGGCTGGACCAGGAGGGCGCCGCTCTGCCGCCAGCCCCTGCCCCCATTTGTCTCTTGGAGGCACCGTAGGGCCTCCTCCTGGGCCCTCAGTGGGCACACATGTGCACGGTGGACAAGGACACAGGCCCATGCGGCATAGACACTGTCCCTCTGGACTTGCTGTAGAGGTTTCTGAGTCCTCTGACTTGATCATGGTGCCACCCCATCACCTCAGGGGCCAGTGCTCCCCGACCTTCCACATGTGGTCAACCACCACGTCCTCCTACGTCAGGCTCACCACAGCCCTGCGTGTGCCGTGCCTCGCAGGGCCGGCCTCCCCTCCTCCTTCCCGCCATGCGCAGTCACTGACCCGCTTGGCTCTGATACTGATCACGGCTTCTCTATTTAACCGTTTCCCAAGGAAACTGCAGGAGAAATGGTGGCACCAGGGAATGACTCATGACCTGCACCATTCTCTGGGAACCAGCGTGCTCACTGTGTCCTGGAGAAGGGGGTCTCTGAGAAGGGTCTGAGGAGTTTGCAGAGAGTGGCTCTCGGGTCAGCTGGGCCCTTGGCAGCTGGATGGAAAAGAATCCCACCAAGTTCCAGTCGAAGGCCGAGATAGGTCTATTTAGGAAAACAGACTATTCAAGGGACTCTGCGGGCCACTGGCAGAGTGCAGGATGCATTTGGGGTTCCCAGCTCGTCTTTTACAGGGGGCTTGGTGAGGGTGCTGTGGGAAGGTCTGTAGGAAGTTACCGTCCAGTGATCGTGAGACAGTTTTGTGGTCTGGACAGTGTCCATCCTCAGGAGGATCTGATCAATGTCTACCGTGCTGGAAAGTCCCCTGAATTATAGGTTCCTCCAGAAAGGCTCTCTCTCTTTGCCAGCTGATTTATTGGGAGTTCATCAACTGTGCACAGGAAGATCTGCAGGTGGCCCAGATACCTGGGAGTAGTGGGCCTGCAAGGGAGGCAGGCTTAGGGAGTGACCGCCTGGAAAAGAAGGCAGAACTCTGAATCAAAATCCTCTTTCCTGTCCTTCCTGTGTGTCTCCTTTCTACCTATGTCCTACTCCTTCTACCAAATAGATCAAATGTGGTCGTTTTTGTTCCAAATGGCCTTTAAACTCCAAAGTTCACTCCATTTCTGTTGACAGCGAGCTGGCTGTGATCACTGCCCAGCGGCCATCCCAGGCCTACTGAGAGGGACCCAGGGCCGTGGGCCTGCCTGGGCAGCCCCGGGTCCTCGTCCGCTTTCCGTGGCTGGGACGGAACACCTGAGGAAGACGGCTTAGGAGGGAGAGTCCTTTTGGCTCCGGCCTCACAGGTCCTTGGTCGCTGGCTCCAGGGCACACACGCGGTGGCAGAAGGGGGCTGTCATGGCGGTCAGGAAGCAGAGGGGGTGGGGGAGACAGGAAGGAGGAAG